GAAACACACACACACACGTCTGTCACAGCTCAACAGCATCGTGTTTACGTGCACGTCAGCCTAATGTGAGCATAACCGAGGGCAACCCTTTATAACGGCGATATGCCTACTAGTGAAGAAAGGGATTAGATCTGTGTTCATGGTGAAGTGTGCTGGAAGAGCTGGGTATGAGAAATAATGTTTTAATATCTACGTGATAGAGGAAAACAAGAGGGGTGGGGGGAAAAAAGGAAAATCCGCTGCATTTAACAAATATTTGATAATAGGTTGAAAAAAGCCAAATATCACTCAAAAGAGGAAAAAAAACCCAGGAAGTGATATCCCAATCCCTGACAAGTGCTTCTGAGTCCCTGAGCCGCATGCATGAGCCTGCCCCAGCCCCAGCCCTGCCCCTGGGACACGCTCCCTCCAGGTAGCACCGGGCTGCAGGCACGGCAGGGGCTCTCCAGCAGCTCCCCTCACTGCTCTGCCAGTTGGTTGTCTGCACAAGCTTCTTTCACATCTTCGTTCCTTCCAGCGAGCTCCAGGCAACGCTAAATGAAGAACCTTCCCCGCGCAGAGCGGTTAGCACAGTGCCGAGCATCACCCCTTGAAAACCACGGCTTCGATCGGACGAGCGATACAGAAGCGATGCGCAGCGGGGGGATACATCCAGGAAAATTCAGGGAAGCCATTTCAGAAGCAAGGGGCTGCTCCCCTCTGCCCCTGCAGCTCCGTCTCACCGAGCCGGGGCTGGGCATGCCACCGGGCTCCCCTCTGCGAAAGCGCAAAGGTCCTCGTGGCCTGCGATCAGCAAACACTTCTCTGCAGCCACCTCTTCCTGCTCTCCTCTCCCTTCCCTCGCTCCCCGCCCTCAGGAAAAGGTTAAAAACAAGTTCTTAAGTTGCACGCAGCAAAACAAACCCAGAAAAAGCTACGAGTGGGAGTGAGGAGCAGCAGCACCCTGAGGGGTGACAGACGGCCAAGACCAAACCCACGCGGGCAGCAGAGAGCGGCCGGATCCAGCAGCTCCTGCTGCCGCTGCAGCCCCCAGCCCTGCCGGGGAGCACGCCAGCAACCCCCCACGCTTCATTTCCACACAGGACAGCCTAAATGGCACATAAACTTTTTAGAAAGGAAAATTTGTTTAAGTTGTGTCCAAACTATTCAGCGTTTCAGTCCTTTCTTATCGGCTACCTTGTTTCACACAAAACCCCCAAACCAACCCACAATTCTCATTAAGGTACCAGCCAGGCAAGTGCAGCGTTTGGCTCCGTACCCACCGGGCTGCCTCCAGCCCCGTGTCTCCCCGTGCCGATGCGGAGCAAAGAGCACGATACCTTCCCCACGTGCTTACAGATGGTGCACAAAGGTTGACAGTTATTGCTTTACAGCAGTATCCTAACACCAGTAATAAACAACAACATCTGCAAAGAGCCTCTCTCCCTGCTGGCAACACGGACAAGATCACAGCTGAGGTAAGGTTAATTAGTTCAATTTTTTTTCAAGCCAAGGAATGAAATGGTTGCCCCATGATCATGGCCCAAGTTCAAAGCAAAGGGGGGCAGGAAAAGGCAGAGTGACTGTACAGGTGTTATCTGACCAAGTGCGTGTTGAGCGCTTCTTATCAGAGAGAAAGCCAAGAGTGAAGTAGGAAGGCAGAAAAAGGAAAAAAAAAAATCTATAAAGCAGAAGCAATGTCAGAGAGCTCCACTGCCCAACTACACATGTCGCTAAATTAAACCATCTTTATTTTAAAGCTACAATAAGGGAAAAAAAAATTTTCTTTAAATAAGTCTTTCTGGCTGGTTATGGTGGAGGGGTCCGAGACGGACAACCACGGCACCGTGCCATGTAAATCAGACCACGGTGCAGCCGACGAGGCTCTCGTCCCAGCCAATGCATCTTTCCCCGGCTGAGAGGCTCTAGCGAGGCGAGTCCAGGGGCACCGGCGGGTCCCGCAGCATGCCCCCATCCCACGGACCAACGGCGGGTACTGGCGTTCTGCGATGAAGATCCCAGCACCAGACCAAAGCTGGAGCACAGTCTATACGTATGGCGTAAGATCGACGGCATTGAATTTGCTGGCGCCTAGGCTCAGGGAGCTAGAGGATGTTATGTGGTTTTTCCTCAGACTACGTTCACTTAAAAAGTAAGAACAAAGCTCTTGCAAAACTCAAAGCAAGACCCATGGCAGGGGTCTTATTTCTCTGCTGAAAACAACATTCACTATTTCATTGCAAACCTCCCTGTGCCTGAACGGCCCCTCGGCACTGGGGTGGTTGCACCCCCGGTGATAGATTCGGCTCAGCCCCCGCTCCCTCATCTGCTCACAGGAGTAGGTAGAGATGGAAAAAATAAACCCTGCCTCAGCAAAGCATTTTTGGAGCTGTTCGGGGGTGGTATGCGTGCTGGGTCCCCACTGCCCAGCATCCCGGTGGCAGGCAGCTGCCTCGGGGCGCAGAGCGGCGATGCCCTGGGGAGCACAGGACCCTCGCTGTGTGTCCTGCTGCACGTCCCCCGCAGCACAGCAGCCCCCGGTCGCTCCCCCGGTGCCTGACCCGCTGCGAGGGATCAGACCCGGACTGCATCTCCACGTGCGCCCGCGTACGGTGCCAGTGGGAATACAAATTCCCGGTGGCAGGCAGCTGCCTCGGGGCGCAGAGCGGCGATGCCCTGGGGAGCACAGGACCCTCGCTGTGTGTCCTGCTGCACGTCCCCCGCAGCACAGCAGCCCCCGGTCGCTCCCCCGGTGCCTGACCCGCTGCGAGGGATCAGACCCGGACTGCATCTCCACGTGCGCCCGCGTACGGTGCCAGTGGGAATACAAATCGGTGTTTAACCACCTGCACTAGGCTGCCTCCAATGTTCTCGAAGTGAAACTTGATGCTTCTCAGCAAAGACACACCTCTTCCAGGGTGTTGTGCAAAATTCTGCATTTTAACGTAGGACAGGAAATATGAAAAAAGAGCCGGGCAGAACCCAAACAGCACCCTCAGTTAGGCCAAGGATCGCTAGCTCCAGCGGGAAGCGAATCACAGGCTTTGCTTCACTTATCCATCCACCCGTGATTTTCCAGTGCTTTGGAAGTTGTAGTTCCTTCGCTAACAGGTTTTAAAGGATTGGCATTGCTCTGCAGAGAATTTGGGTTTGTTGGTGGTTTTTTTGTTCTTTTTTTTTCCCTCCCTTCTCTTTCATGCTTTATTTCCTGACTCCACAGTGGGATGGGTCGGTTGCAAAAGATTCTCATTCCCTTTTTGGGATTTGTTTTGGCCTTCTGGTTTTATTCTACGAGGGAGAATTTCAAACCGGGTAAGTATTAAAAGTACATCTGTCTTTAAGGAAAAATATTAAAAGCCACATTTGAGTATTTTGCATAGAAACTGTACAGAGCTCGGACCAAACCATGTCTGAGCTTTTGTGTGGCAGCTGATAATGGAAGCTTGTTTTAGCAAAGATTTGAAATCAAACCAAGCAAGTAATGTGCAGAAATACTTCCTGAGGGAGCAGGTGAGGCAGGGGGTCTGAGACGGAGAGAGCTCGCAACACTCCATTTTCCAGTGTGCAGCAAAACAATTTATAAGCATGACTTTTAAATGTTGCATTTTCAATTTTGAAGCATGCACGTAGTGGATGATTTTTATTACAAAATAGTCGGGGTGTTTGTAAGTTGTGTCCTGACTTGTGGAAAAAACTGTTGAAAGAGTCGAGCGCTGTCGCCATGTCCCTGCGTTCAGTGAGGAGCTGCAGCTGCTCCTCAGCGCAGCTTTTTCCAGCAGCTGGAAGAGACATCCTGGTGCTGGACGCCCTGCGCTTGTGGGCTCGCTTAGTTCCAATTAACTACTTACTCTGAAGGGCATTAGGGGAATTTTTGGTTTTGTTTTGTTTTTAAATACCGTTTGGATAAATTAAATCCCTGTGCCTTGGTCCCCAGAGATGCTGAAAGGGAAGCGGGTGATTGTCACCGGAGCAAGCACTGGAATTGGAGAGCAGATGGCGTATCACCTGGCGCGGATGGGATCCCACATTTTGATCACAGCACGGACAGAGTCCAAGCTACAGAAAGTAAATGGCAAGCCGAGGACTCACACATGCATGTTCATGGCGGTGCACACACAGACACATGAAGGTCAATCTCACATCACAAGTACACGCATGAATACATGCGGCTGTAATTGCCATGGCACAAATACCAGCCAGGCACAGTTACGCTCTCGGGTACGCATACTCACGCTGTCCGGGGCTCCTGCACGCACAGAAATCCCTCTCCTGCAGATACACGCACTCTGCATAGCGCATATTGTGCTATTTGAACTTGGTTAGTTACGTGCACATATCCCCATCCCTCAGCACACACACACCCTCATTCCACTGCAGTGATATACAAGCTCCTGCTCACCCTACACACATGCAATTCTAGCACAGACTGCGCCGATAAAGAGCCAGACTGCCTTGGGAAACACGTTCACCAAAGGAATCATTTTTCAGGTTCCCTTTGAAGCTTAAAAGGCTCCAAACATACTCCTGAAGCTCCAAACCGCTGTTTTAAGGCAGGGACGCATCACAGGGAACAGACATCCTCTTTTACTACTGCACCGGGCTTCCCAAGGTGGGGAAAGGGGTTTCTGACACGTCGTGTTGGTGCGGCAGGTGGTGGAGCGGTGCCTGGAGCTGGGGGCAGCCTCCGCGCGGTACATCAGCGGCACCATGGAGGACATGGCCTTCGCCGAGCGTGTGGTGAAGGAGGCAGAGACCTCGCTGGGTACGTTTACAGCCTGCTTCCCGCAAACAACAGCGGAACATTGCATCTCTCCTTGGCCATGCTGCTTTTTGCCACATGCCCACTAAAAAAAAAGCAGGAGACATGGAGATGGGGCGAGATGGGAGAGATTTTTCCCTAATTATGCCCTTTGCAGTCCCACTCCTCTGCCCAGCTTCGTTGCTTCAGCTCAAACTGAACTGCGCTCTCGATTTCAGCTCTGTGCCCTCATGACATCCTGTTCTAGTATAATAACCCTGGATTTCATCACCCTCAGCTACTGCGGTCTGAAACCGTCCATCAGGCTCGTAGCAGCCTTGCTATTGCGGTCACGGGTCACAGCTGCGGAAATGCAATATTTCAGCTTTGCGGAGCAGCGCCTCTCCCACCCCGGGCCCACAGACAGCTTGAGGGTAATCTCCCTTGTGCCACAGTATTTGTAATTTTGAATCAGGGGGGAAAAAAGAAAATCACGACAAAATTTTCACTGGCAGTCACCATCCGGACTGTATGCCTACTCTGGAGATGACAGGCCATAGCTCTGACCCAAAAACCTGATTTCTTTTGATGACATTTATTCTGCTCCCATGAAAGGCTCTGCTCTGCTGGTTGTAGCCCTCTCCCACCCAGCACTAACGCCTGTTTCTCTGCTTGCAGGAGGCCTAGACATGCTGATCCTTAATCACATCGGCACGTCGTACTTCGGTTATTTCAACGGAGACGTTGGACACGTACGAAAGCTCCTAGAGATCAACTTCCTCAGCTACGTGGCGATGACCACATCTGCCCTGCCCATGCTAAAGGAGAGCGAGGGCAGCATCGTAGTGGTTTCATCCATGGCAGGTGAGTGGGGATAGGCAACACGGGATTCAGTTAAAAGATGCCATGGGGTGATTTTCAGAAGTAAGCAGCACGCACAGTCACCAGGCATCCTAAAGGAGCCATAATTGCTTAATGCACACACATGAAAGAAAAAAAAACAAAACACCCAAATCCAGATCTTTTTTGTATTTTCCTTGATGGAACATGTTCTCTGATGCAATCCAATCACCCCAGCTTGCTTTTTCACCAGCCCTGTAAATAAACCCCACACCCTGGTGTCATGCTCATTAGAGCGGCAGAGTTCATACACCTCCAGCTTTATAGAGAAAAGTGGAAATGCGGTAATTTCTCACTGCATTGATTCTCTGACCATTCATCTTGTTTTGGTAGGTCAAGTTTCTGCTAATATTTGTGGAGTGAGTTATTGACTGACTCTATTCACAAAAACATGACTCTGTTCTAATAAATTTCTGTTAAGTCATGAAACTAAATCACTAACAGATGTCCCCACTCACAGCCGGTATGTTAGTCTTCTGGCGATCCGCTTAGCTCAGTATCCAGAGACGGGAGTTTAAACTTTGCTCCATCTCCCCCCTCGGAGGGTTTCCTAGTGACTGCAGATTGCTCATACCCTGAGCAGAGACGTGAGACATGGTGTTGGCCTTAAGACCTTAAAAGAGCTGGAAGCTGTCAGGAATATTTGTAATGCTGCTGTTCAGGTGCCAGGATGACATTTCACTAACAGTAAACTCCCTTTGGGAAAAATATTTTATCTGATGGCAGGCAAACCAGAGGTTTGGGCAGAGAGGCTTTCCGTGCTATAACAGAACTTCACTCTGTGTGCAGGTAAAGTCGGGTTTCCCTTTACGGTCCCCTACTCTGCAACTAAGTTTGCCTTGGATGGATTTTTCAGCTCCCTGAGGCAGGAATTCAGCATTCAGAGTGTTAACGTTTCCATCACACTCTGCATCCTTGGCTTCATCGATACTGGTAAGATCTGTGCTGTTTGATCTGGCTGATCAGGAGCCGAGCATCACCTTCTCAGCTTCCTACCCTGCCTTCCAACTCCCTCTGCCACCAACTCTCCCCTTCACCCCTGCTGCTGCTTTTCTTCCAGCCCTGCTCTAACCCAAGCGCATGCAAAACACATGGGGGGGATCCTCCCTCTACTTCCACCAAAAAACAAATCTCAAAACAAATTTTGTTCCTCCTGTTACAGCAAACCAGCTGTACATGGGCTGGCACGACCTAACATTCAGTTACTACAAACGGATGTGCCGGCCATCTATCTCCCATTAATCCCACCTATTGATGCAACAAGGTACGGGGATGCAAGCGCACGATTAGGGCACCTGCATGCGTTGGGCAGCAAAGAGGAGTTCGGTCTCACGAATTCACCTCTGTTTCGACACGCGTACCGACACGCTCCAATTTAACGCACGCTTTGCGAGCCCCGCTTCGCTTTAACGCGACAGCCTCCCTCGGCCCCTGCTTTGCTCTTTGCGGCCCAGCCGGGCGAGGAGCATCCCCGGCCTGAGTCCCTT